AAATGTATGTAAATGAGATGCTAGAATAAATCCAATCTGTGGTTTTGGGATAACATTTTGCCCTTCTATTCCAACAACAAATTGAAAGAACAGAACAATACTGAGAACTAAAAATATTTTGTGTGCAGAGGATTATTAAGCATTTACTCTCCCTTATGCCACAAAGTACTCAATGTCCTTAATTCCCACTGGGAGCAGAGGATCTTGGCACCACACAGAATCAGGCTCACTGGAGAACTGTACAAACAGGAGTGAACCCTCACAACATCAACCTTTACAAGCCAAGCTACAATAGCAAAACAGTTCGACGTTTACCTGGAAGGGACTACCCCACCACATGGTAAACTGACAGCTGCCCCTGACCTATCCCTGTGCTTCACATAAACCAGTGCTGTGAAGATACAGAAGAGATTTTATTATGCTTTTGGTTTATGATATGCTACCTATGTTATACGATATATAACCCCAAGTTATATCAACACACTAAGCAGCAGTTCCATGGCCTTCGCAAGCTGCAACAACAACGTACCGAATGTTTCGGTCCAACCTGACTACCTGGGGAAGGTGCTGCCTCACCGAGTCCTGACCCTGGGCCAGGGGCTTTAGATAACAAACACAGACTCTTGTCTCCAAAACTCTGCAGCATACACACATAAAACATGGGGAGGGGAAAGAGAAATAGCACAACCCAAACAAAACTCTTCGGCTTAACAATACAATATTCTGGGGAGGTTAACCTCCTAAGCTTCCCAGCAGTGAGCAAGTGGAGAATGCAGCAGGTTCCAGGATCTGCTCCAGGTCTTTCCTGGTCTGAGGGGTCCTGGCTACTCACAGTATACCAGGGAACTGAATTATAACATTTCTTTTTCACTTTTGCCAGTTACATCATTGACACAGCCACACTGATACAGAGAAGGCTTTTTTTTTCCCTTTTCCAAACTGTACCTCAGACACGGCACCTAGTGTTAAAAAGCAAGTGTAAGAGTTTCCAGCAGGACCAACTGAGCAAGCAAATGAATCCCAAACATTAATTAAGCTCGGAACAGCATTTACGTAGGCAAAGTTGAGCATAAACTTAAATCACTGTGCAGTCTCAGCTCGCACAGAAGGACGGGGCTTGACTTCACAAAAATGGAAGGTATGGAAATAGTCTGGATGTGTTTAACTGGTCTTAAGCTCCAGTAGTAAACTCCAGACGGAAGCACATGGGCTCCCGTTCATCCATGCTGCACAAATACATTTGCAACAGGTAAAGCTCCTGCTGTTCCAGTAAGCAGCACTGACAACCCCCCAGCAGCCTGCAAAACCTTTTACAAGCCTCTAATAAAACTGAACGCTAGTTTCTCAGCAATCCAAGTCTGGTGACTTCCTACACCTACATGTAGCCAAGTCTTCTACAGTCACAGGCAAACCTTAGACTTATTAACTGCAGACACTGTCAGCATTGTGTAGTGACTACAGGATGCCATCTTACTAACAGAACACACCATCACTGTTTTCAACACACCACAGTGCAATAAGTCACTAAAAAGAGAACAAAATGTCCATTACTTTTTGCAAATGACAGAAACTTGAACGCTGGGGGGGAAATAAAGAAAGAAGGGAAAGCAAAGCAAAGATTTCTGCTACAAGAGCAGTTCCAACCCCAGGGGTAGAGATGGATAACGGGGCAATGGTGGCGCCCTGAGGCACCAGACACAGCCTTGACACCGAGTGTGTGGTGGGAGCAGAGAAGCTCCAGAACACAAGCAGGCATCTACTGTGAGCAGAAACAGGCTGCACCACAACAGCATAGGGACCAGCAGATCAGCTGGTGACAGAACACAGGATCAGAAGAACACGTATTAGATCGCTTGACTACAATTCCTTCATGATGCTGGTTTTGTCATTATTAAATCACAACTTTTCCATTACGTATGTTGTGGGTTTCTGTCCTTGTAGCTTGTATAGCCCGTATGTTCACAACAGACGGATCAGTGCTGTAGCTCATTGATATTTTTCTAATTATAGTTGGATTTATTAAATTCTTAAGGATTTTCCAAGGAAATACGCCCTGCTGAGGCCAGGTGAGTCTCAGCATCTTCACTGTCATCAGCAAACACCAAAATCAATGACATGAAATGGATAAAGGCAAACTTATTCAAAAGATCACAAGGAGCTGAAGGAGACAAATGTACAAAGTCTTGAGAAAGTGAATATGAAACAAATTAAAAGAAATCAAGTGAAGGTTTGCTCATCTAATTGTGTCTTCAATTTAACGCTTTTAAACAACAGGCCGTCTTTATCCTGTAATTTTACACGTGTAAATAAGCGTACAGCCAGAACCAGTACTGCCTCCACTTGAGTGCACACTTAAGTATGTCAACCCTCTGAAGTAAAACACAGCTTACACAACATGAGATTTTTGCCTTTAGCTTACTTAGAAAAGGCTAAGAAAGGGCAGTCAAGGTTTCTGAGCCCACTCAGACAATGCACAATCCAGAAAAACCAGTCAGGTTTTTCTTTTTTGGGGGGTGATCTAGAAGAAAATTAAGTGAGATTTTAAGAAATACACAGAATGAGAATGGAAAAGTACATACAACAAAACTCCGAGCCCTACCAACAAATGCTGTGGCATTCCCAAAGTGTTTATTTGGGTTCTATCTGCCGGTGCACCCACAGCTTTCAGAACACGCATCAGGAAACAAATCCCAGTTAGAGCAAAGGAGGTGGAGGGCTCAGGTTAAGGAAGGTGAGGTATGACATCCCAGAGCAGCACATGTGCTCTGGGTCATGCGAGAGATGAAGCACATTAGTCCCTAGCTCCCCTCAGCCCCGTGCTCCCACGCCGCATGCGCACCACAGAGACACAAGTACCAAGAGAAGAACGTGATTGCTGCTGGAACTGCTGCTTGCCTCCTTTTGCTCACATGCCACGAGGACACTGCTGCTGCTGCTTTCTGTAACAGCGCTTTGTGAGCAAGCACACGGCATTTTACATCACCAGCACATCAGATTTTCCATTCTCATGTTCCAAAGAGTTGAGAGATTCATTTCTCTCCAGGTACACCAGGAACTTTAGCCACTCCAGACCCTTACTCTTCCAAATGCCTCCATTATAACCCAGGGGCTATGTTCCAGATGCAATCCAGAGATGGCTGGTCCAGCAGTCTCACTGCTTGTCCCCTTTTCTTCCCACTACATCCAGCAGTTCAATACCACAAAGAAAAATGCTTTTGGGCAAAACCTAAATTTGAGGTCATCTTGGGCACACTATAAATGCTCTACAAAGCTTCTCCACCAGGCCGAAATGCCCCAATTAGACAAATACATGTTTCCCTGAAGTGTGGAGGAAAAAATAAAGCAAGGGAGCATTTCCTTGACTGTGTCACTTTAGACCCGTAGTACACAACTTTATGGTCTGCCAGAAGCATGGTGCAATATGTAAATACTAAAAAGCAGCTGGAAATTCACTGAACTCTACAGAGGGACAGCGACAACTGGTCACAGAGGTCCTGGATAGTTCAGCCCCCAAAGAAGGCCTTTCCTTACATGCATTTCATTTGCTTCTTTCAGACTCCAGTCCCTTCCCTTCTTTCTTAAATGGAGGGGAGCAAGCCTGAACAGTCCGTTTTCCTCAAGTCACAGGGCACAGCACCTGAGGACCCAGCAAACGCAGCTAGAACCACCGTCACATCCACCTCAGAGATGACGACTTGGTCAAGTAGCAGATCCAGAGAAAACACTTCTCAATAGGAAGTACAGCTGCTGCTTCTCAATATTATCAAAGCCCTTTATCAACCAAAAACTGACTCCTAAATTTGTTATCACACATAGCAGATGTTGTAGCAGAATGCAGTTATAGCAGCTTAATGGTTCTCATTTTTCCAGTCCCTCCTGCCAAGTGATCCAATTCATCCAGGCCAGCAGCTTCCAAACTTTGATTGCACACCCCTACCCAGAAACAAATTTTGAGCATGGACTGCCAATACATCTGTATTTATTTATAAGCTGTATATTGTCCTACTGAACACATTATGCACGTTATAAAATAAACAAAAACGGAAATTAAAAAGGAAAAGATAAAAACATTATTTCAAAAAATATTTTACTTATTAATGGTACCAAAAATACTTTCCTCCCACACTCCAGTGGATTGTCTTTGGCTACCTTGCTTTGGAGACCCCTGATCAAGCTGAAGGTGGTACCATTTCAGACTAGCTGACATAGCTGGGAGAAAGGACACCTCACTCCAGGTCTTTTCCTATATGCCCATATTATTTACCTAATATGCTTAGGACTGTTCAACCTCCCTGCTCATATACAAATTAAAGAACTACAGTTTTAAACCAACAAATCAGAGCTTGCTTCATAAACTTCAGTTGCTGGATTTGGGTACAAACTCAGAAAACGATCAACAGCCCCCAAAATTCTCACGGAACACAGATCATGAGTTCGCTCACAGTAAACAAAGAAGCCTGGAGCTATTAAGAGGCCTCTTAATGGCTCAATTGGCATGTCTCAATTGAAAAGTTAACCCATCCGAGGGGAGCTCATGCTTTTCCTGATGACTTTATTACTATTTCTGTGCTTTTAACTGTTGGCAAGAAACAAAAGCCTCAGATGCAGCTCCAGGCAGACTCCTCCAGTGCTTCTCCCATGAGAAAACTTCACTCAACGTCTTAGAAAGCTAGTGTAATGTATGCTAACACTTTGTAATTACCATTTACAAATGCAAGATATGCTAATTTCCAGATGACTATCAGGGAAATACATTGAGAGCATATTATACCACCAAATACCCTGAAAAGGTTTTCACTTAAGAGTATTTCAAAGTAGGCTTCAAGGGGAGGAAAACAACGTACAAGAGAATAACCTTGGCACAGAGGCAAGGTGAGGCAACCTCCAGATGACTGAGAGATCTTATTCATCCACAATCCACCATTATCAAACCAACAGCAAAGGAACTGTATTATGAGAGCAAATTTTCATAATGAAAAAAATCTACACAAGCTTCAGGATCATGCTATCTTAACAGCATCAAACACTAGCAGGATTGTTTCTCTTGGTCCAAGAGTCATGGTCAGACACTATAATTAAGAGCATACAAACCAGAAACCAATTTCACAATGCCTCCTGTCTTTATCAAAGGGTTTGTCCTCCAATAACAATTATTGAACAAGGCTGCAAAGAATTTTAGGAAAATATACATTATATCTAAAGTTTAATTGGAAACCTAGGTTGTTTTGTTTATTCTTTAAAAAAGGTGTGCTTCAACTAAATGGATCTGGGAAAGAAGAGAGATGGCAAGACAGGCACTACTTGGTATCATCAACCAGCAGATATACACAGCTTTGCAAGAACTTGTCACAGAACAGACACTGTCATTTCAGTGAAGGCTTTTTCCACACAGGCCTGACAATCATAGAATCACAGAATCGTTTGGGTTGGAAAGGACCTCAAGATCATCTAGTTCCAACCCCCCTGCCATGAGCAGGGACACCACACACTAAACTATGTCGCCCAAGGCTCTGTCCAACCTGGCCTTGAACACCGCCAGGGTTGGAGCATTCACAACAAACCAGGACAGACAGCCATGATCCCATATCGGCACAGTAGCCAGGCTGATCTAGATCAGGTTCAGCCAACCTGGCATTACAGTTCAGCCACAGGCTGCAGCCAGTGTTACCAGAGGCTCTCCACAGCCTAAAAGGTTGTCAGCACCATTCACTCAAACAAGAATTCCTCAAGTTTATAAAATGCACAGTAAAACAAGAAGGGAAGAAAAAAGCCATCTACGTAAGTGCAAGGTTTTGTTGCAGGAGCTAGATAACAGCTGCGGAGAACTACTCTGGCTGCTGCTCTTCCCCTCACTTCGTGTTTGACTGTGGCGTGCCATCCAACCAACCTAATGCGCTTCAAAAGTAGCTCTCATCTCACTGATCAAATCCATATAAAATAAGCCACATGCCATGTGAGAAAATGACTAATGTTTGTATCTTTGAAGCTCTTTGCTTCACCACTGAAGAAACTTTTGAACACAGTAGTATTAGTGTTTGCTAAAAGAAACTTGCTTTTAAAAACAGGATTTAAAAGCCTTAAGAAAAAACACAAGGAGATGATAAAGAGCAAAGGTAAATCTGAGTAACTTACTGCTGCTGCGGCCTCCTCTCCACCTGTATAGATAGAAGAAGCAATCTCCATCATGGACAAGTTTGTGGGAGCATCTGTAGTAGATGACGATCTGGGCCGACCTGACTGAGTATCTTGGGCAGACCTCCTGTTGATCTGCGGGCTTCCTTTTGGGGCATCTGCCTTGCCCCACCTGCTGTGCAGGCTCGTCCCTCTCTTCATTTTAGGTGGCACTCTGATCTGCTGGAGCACCCGGTTCAGAGCTGTGGGGTGGGTGGAGACACCATCAATTTCAGCACAGACGCTTTGGCTTTCCAAATCCACGTCAGGCTCCAGATCAGCCTGAGCTTGCTGAATATCATGCGGAGAAACTGAGGACCTCCTGCGCTGATGCTGGAAGAGGTGCTTCAAGCCTTGACCAATCACATTAATGTTCTCCAAAGCATTATGGGTTATTTTTGATAATTTTTGTTCTGATTCATGTTGCCTTTTGGTCTCTTGATCTTGGGATTTGCCTCCAGGATCAGGGTCATCACACAACTGTTCAGTGCCAGAGGGCTCCATTGATGACACCCAACAGGTTTATTTCACTATTCATATATAATCACGTCCCCTGTCTTTGAAAGGCTTGTGTTTTTAAAATGCCAAGATTGTCAGCCAATTAGGTGTGCAATTGCTTCAAGAGTGACTATACATGCAGCTGTGCCACGGTGATCTCATGCTTATCTAATGTTAAACAAAAGAGTCGTTATTATACATCCATGCAGAAAGTATTGGGTTAAAAAATCCAAAGCGCAAAACATGCCATTAACAAAACAAAACATATCAGTTTTCCAAGCATCCCTCCATGTGGTATTAGTTGCATGTAGGCTGTATGCAGAAGCCAAAGCTTGTGCGAGACAAGTCATTCATCACCTGGGGGAAGAAGCCCAGCACAAAGGGTAAAGGAAAGCAAGAAGGTAAAAAAAGCTGTTCAACAGGGGAAGAAGCAAAGAGAAGACACTGGGGTTTCATTCATTAAGAACAAGCCCATAAGAATATTCAACAGAGCACAAAGTTAAACTTCCGATGGGCATGCTAGTCTCTTTGGTAGAATTTATTTTGTTCCTTGACAAAGATCTGATATTTCGTGCTTCAAATGTAACGTCTGCTCAGCCTACCTGATTTTCCTGTAGAATGCTTAACTTCACAGTATTTAACATATGCAAGAAAACAGAACACTTCCAAATCAGTTATGCATTTCCAAATAGTAAGAAATGGCTTATTACTGCCAACATCCGCTGATGGCACTGGAGACTAGATGTGAAAATCTGTCTTCAAGCAGGAACAGGCAAATGAAATAGTTTCAATTGGCACAGTCTTGTCCATAGTTCTCAGAGAAAACAAAAATGCCTTTTTAAAAGTAGATTAAGCAACCAATCTGAACGGGAACAGGACCATGTATGCGTAGCTCAAGTCTCTAGCAGAGAGGAAACACGCAGCTTTTCTCCAAGATAGCTCAACCTTCCTGTCATCTGAGCTCAGGCAGCTGAGCACTCAGATAGCAACTCACTACGGGAGAAGTACAGCAAAGGCATGAGGAAGGAAGGAAGGAAGGACACGTTATCTGAAAGAGTTTCACATCAGCACCATGAGATCACATGCTCAGAAGCTGATCATTGTTTTCTTGCAGGAGAAAGATTTGATTAGGCTTCTCTACATAGAGAAACCAGACCACAGAGTTCTACCCCAGTCTTGGCAGAAAGCAGCCTGGGTTTTAAATAAAAAAAAAATAAATAAAAACAGCAACAAAATTTTATTTGAAATGCAACATATGTTTGGGATTTGAGAGCATTCTTTCTTATCTTAAAACAGCTGCAGAAGCACAATGCATTGAGGTTACCATTACAGCACTCAATTTTTGCATCTGAAACCTGACACAATGGGTTAAACAGATATTCCAAAATGCTTTCCAAATTGGCGTCCAAAAATATCAGAAGAGCTGCCTCACGCTCTTTTTCAAATGTCGTTGCTATCAGCTGGAGGCAAGATGGAATTCTGTACTTACAGAAAGCAAAACGCTGGACTCATACGGGATTTTCTCTCACTACTTTGAACATGCTACAACCACTGAGAGTAAATATATTGGCCAGTTTGACATTAAATGCAAAGTAATAAACTACATCCCAGAAAATACAGTGTATTTACCCATATTCATGCAGAAATTGTGTGGTAGAATCAAGTATGCAAAAATAAAAGGTTGGTTGTACATTTTTTAACAGTTTCTTGAACAGCTTCAAGTGCCTTCATGAGCAGTGTCACGCTTTGACTTTTGAGCTCAAGTTGTCTTTTCTTTATTCTCATGCAATAGGTTTTCCAGAAAGTTGAACTGCAGGTTTCCACCCCATTTAATTTGGCGGGGGGAGGGGGCGGGAAGGGACAAAACTAGAGATTGTCCTTTTCATCCAACAATGGTTCAGCGAACGAACTTCACTGTCCCCAAAGTATTAGGCAAGCAAAACACAAGTCTGACAGCTGACCCATAACTGTATTTTTCCTTTTAGCCAATTCCCTCCACATTCATTTTTCAGTCAGGACTCATGAAGAACTGTAGCTCATATCAAAGATGCCCAATACACTCTCTAACCAGTATATTTGTGATCTCCTGCATGCTTTCTATCCAGATTACCACTGGTAATACTGCTGATCTGAAGGAACACCACTTCAGTCTAACTAAAGTTCCATGCATTATCTTCTGGAAAGCGTTATCCTTCTTAAATTAGCCCTGTGTCAATTTACAGACCAACCTGAAACAAGTCAGCCAACAGTGAAACATGTCACTACTACCTCTGAAACTACACTGAGCCTTCTCTCCAGGGCACTGTGGTCTTCTGACTACTCGTGTTTCCACGTGATGAGTCTGTTGTGAGCCTGAAATGAGTTTTTCAAATTGCACATCTGGTATGAAGATTCTTAAAACTACACATTTGTCTTAGTATCTACTTTTGGGGGAAAGCTGCTCATAAATGTGAAGAACTGTCAATCAGCAGAATTAATCAGCACATTTATTTACATTAGGATTCAAGTTTTGTACTTCCCTCCCCCCAAAAACAAAATCACCATTATATTCTGTTTGAGAGAGGAAACAGAGTACTTCATAGCATGAAGTTCAAAACCATGTGTTTCTTACTCATACGAGTACAACACACAGGGGACAAAATGCACAATTCCATATACAGTCACACTGAGCAGATGTTATAACATTATTACATCCCAGAACATGCTAATATTGCCCTCCATTGTGCAATCATTTCACAGCAGCATAGGGAAATAAAACAGTTCAAAAGGAGAAACTGGAAAAAACAGTATTGGAGAACTGTGAATATATAAACTAGTACTTGCCTCCATCACTTGCCCTTTAGCATGGCTGACATACAGCAGTCCCTCCACTGAACAAAACTGCAAAAGAAATTGGGTATGAGATGCAGTTCTTGGACATGCAAGGAAAGATGTACACAAACAAAGCAAGCATGGTTCCATCCCCCTGCCCCCCATTTAAATGCAGGTGCCTCTGGAAGCTGGACTATTTTAGACTTTCAAATAACTGGAGAGATACAAATATAATTGAAGTTAAAACTAAATATTACAGAGTTAATCAAAAAGTTCTTACTGAAGGAATGTTTTCTCGTGGGGTTTACAGCCACCAATATATGCCAAAAGCTCAGGCTCTGGCCTACAAGGTCACGCTGCCCCACACAGCTTTTATTTTCTCCTCCTACTCAGTCATCCCAGCGTTCTGGGCACAGGTCAAACAGCTTGCTCTTGTTTACCTGGAGCTCACCTACCAGGACATGAGAACTGTGAGCACTTCAGACACGAGCACCTTTCAGTCCATTCCTCAGGGAAGCCTCTAGCACCTTTGGCTGAGCTGCCCCTGCACTAACAGCACCCTCTGCCCGACGCCCAGTGAAACCAGCCCCGCTGCAGGACAGCACCCCAGTGATGGCAGACCCACACACTGCGCCAGCCATGCAGGGACATGGCCATGGACCCACTCAGCGCCTCCGCACTGAACGAGCACGAAGGACTCGGAGGCCCGAGCCCAACCGAGGCAAAGCACCCGGCCGACGATGCCATCCCGGCTTCACTCTCCTTCCCTAGATGAGGAACAGAGTATTTCAAGGGCACGCGGATGATCTGTTCAACATTTCTGTGACAAGCCCAAAGCAAGGCCAGATGCTGGCTAGAAGAACACAACAAAGGATGACGAAGAAGACAGCAGAGAGCAGATACAACAACTGCATTTCTCCAGCCAGACTCTCATATTATTCTGAAACACAAAGGTGAGCAGTTACTCAACTAGTTCTTGAAAACACGGACACAAGCTTTGGAATACATTAGCACTCAGAATACTACAAGCCTCTGCACAGCTGGGCATTTTCACCATTTTCTTACATGCCAGATTCCCACCTCCAAGAAGACAGAGAGATAAAGAGAACGTTACTCAACCACTGGAGTGGGATGCTAGGATACGGAGAACGTGATGACAGCAGATATGAAGAACTTAGGAAAATGAATGAAGGCATTTTCTAAAAGATCTCAACATAGAAGCAGCCACATTTCTGCTACAGTGTGAGTGGAGAGCTAGGCCCAGCACCAGAGGTATTGTGAGCGTACAAGGTGCCACCAACATAACTTCAGAGCCATTCTACTGAGCTTTGCAAAGCTACTGCACTGGGCTGATCAAAATTCCTGCACTTTCCTGTACTTATGAAGAGAAGACACAGTCTTCTTTTTTTCATGTATATAATGGCCCTATTGCAGAGCCATTTACTCAGCACAAATGCATCAGCTTAATGAATTCCCCTTCAAAACCACAGTTATTTGCAAGCAAACTCTGAAGTCACCATTGAAACCCATCTCAGAGCTGACTTAACTGCAACTGCAGTACTTGTTACAGGTACAACAGTACAGAATTGTAGAAACAGGGAAGAAAAAGATAATTTTCAACAAAAGAAAAAGATCCTGCCTTTCTGTAGAATGTTTTAAATACGTATTATTTATGCTGTATTTGAACATCTCCAAACCTTAATGTCTGTGTTAAAGCACAATTACCTAAGGAACCCTCACATTTTATTCCATAAACAGCTCAGTTTAATAGCTCATCATAGAGCTGTAGTCCACAGTTAGGAGGGCCTATAGGTAGGAGATGCTTCCCATTCCTCCTGTTTAGCAAAAGAAAACCATTTTTTAGTTGCTTTAAGTTAAGAATGATTTCCATTAAGAAACAGCCCAGCTTAGCCTAAGAAATTCTATATTATTTTCAGAAGTTCATTCAAAAATGGATTCTGTATCTAGGCAAAGAGTTTAAAAGAAAAAAACAAAAAACCCCAAAACTACAGGGGCAACAGTAACACACCGGAAAACCACAAGAAAATTATGGGAACTGGGAACCCTAGAAATTATTTGTATCTGCAGGAGGATTTAGATATTTAAAAAGCATCATTGTTCAGCAGCAACAAGCACCAGAGCAAATAAGGAGAGAAAGCTCTGGGTGTGCACAGCTAAGCCTGTCATAAAAAAGAACTCAAGAGAAACTGGAATGGGTGTAAGATTCAGGAGGACTGTGGTCTGGAAAACATTCAAGGAGGAAGACAACAGTGAGAGTAAATAATCATAGAATAGTTAGGGTTGGAAAAGAA